TTTTGCAAACATTTATTATTATTTTTATTATTATTTAATATACAGTGAGATCTCTCTAAATGCATCCTTCCTAAATGCATGCATATATTTTTTTTCTATAAATGCACATTTCACACAGACTAAGTATATAAAGATCATACAAAATTTCTCTCTTTAAATGCACACCTTTCTTAAATGCACATTTTTTCAAATTTTCATTATGATCCCAAGAAGGATGCATTTAGAGAGATTCCACTGTATATTGCAAACATTTAATTATTTTTTATTTTTATATTACGAATAATAAATTTAATTACTAATAAAAATAATTTCTGATAAAATAAATTTTTTTACTAATTTTAAGTATAATAATAATCATATAATAAATATAACAAATAATTTAGTATAATTTTACTGAATTTTCTCATTATAACGAATTGTATCCTCTAAAAATTAAAATTTGCTATAGAAAGTATTAAAGTATTTATAGTATTCAATTTGCAAATCAAATCAAATATTTGAAGATTTAATTTGTATTTGATCAAATAAAATTTCTTTAATTTGAATTTGATCGAATCGAATCAATTATTAATTTGATTTTGTATTTGATTTGATTTTCAAATTGAATATTCAAATATCAAATCGAATTGCAGAACCCTAGTAAGTATAACTTAATTTGATATGTATTTTGCATTAGAATCATAAGGCTATTTTGCTATGATACCAAATTAGGAATTATATTATCATCAGTTTTGAATTGATATTATATACATATTTCTATATTTGTTATAAGTTCTATAATACTACAGATGTGATTAACTTGAATTGTAACTACAATAAGCTTCTTAATTATCTCAACACCTTCTATTATTTTAAAACTTAATACAATAATATTACATCAAATAGTTCTTTAATTATAAGTTTTACAAAAAAATCTTCTATTACTATTTCATAAAAAATAGGATAGATATACTATTTATGAAGAATTTTTGATCCTTTAAAGATATATATATTTGTAAATAGCATTTTTAAAAAAAGGCTTATTTAACGTTAAAAATTTAAAGATAAGTTGTTCTGACAGTTTTATTTTTTTCTTTATTAGTTTATATATGCAAATTACATGATCAATTTTATTATATATTTTAATTTTATTTAAAGATACAGTTATAAAAAAAAATCTTTTTATAACACAATTGTCTTTCTTAATTAATAATATCATAGATTCATAATACTTATTAATATTAGTTTCTAGGTTTTAATTTGCTCTTTACAAGTAATTTACTTTAGAAATATAATCATGAAAAGAAGTCATTCAGGGGTACAGTTAGAAAAAAAATCACTCAAAAATACAGTCATAAAAAGAAAGGTAGAAGCACAATCAATTTTTTGTTTTAGCAACAATACTATTAAATTAAATTCAATAATACATAATCAACGTTACTTTATAAATTTGATTTATTGAAGAGCAATTATATATATATTAATTGGCTAATTCAATTTAATAAACAGATTTTTCACATTTATAATGATAAATATTTTGAATAGAGAAATGACATTAAGATTATGTTATATTTTTTATAAATAAATAGTTTAAATAATAATTTATTATATTAATATATAAGAGATTTGCTAGAAAAATATGACTTTAAAAATTTTTTAATTCTTATTGCATTTTAATCTAATATTATTAAGAATTAAAATGCAATAAAAAATAAAATTTTATTAAAAAATTCTCAGAATTTCATTTTTTTTTAGCAAACTTTTCATATAATACAAAAAATTTTAATATGAAATTTTTGACTGAATAGTTAGATTATAAAATGATAAAAATCCTGAATAAAATTTTTAAAAATTTTTTTTTTTAAAAATAAAAATCTGGGTAACCAGATCATATAAATCTAATTTCAGATATAATAATTAATATTATAAGTTTATTTCGTCTTAATATTAGTTACATCAAATTTAATTAATCTGTATAGTGAACTCTTGATATAACGAATTCTAGGATCTGGATATCAACTTCGTTATAAGCTTATAACGAATTTTTTAAAGAATTTAATTGGCTAGTTCACTATAGTAAAGGTAATTTTAATATATTTGATTTAAAAATTCGCTATATCAAGAGTTCGCTATATCAAGGTTTAACTGTATATATGTTTAAAAAGATCAGAATATTCAAAAAGAACTGAAGAACTGCTAGTATAATTATATATAACTTCTTTATTTTTTTTCTTAAATGTTTTACTTTTTTATTTTTTTATTATATAATATTATAATGATTTTTTAAATTTTGATACATATACAAATCAATAATATATAAAAAGAAGTATTTTTACTAATGTTTTTCTGCTTTTATTATTAATTGAAACCTTTTTTGGGAAAAGACATTTGTATAAAATAATTTATTTATTTATTAAATTAGTAATTAAACTATTGTATTTGTTATATTTAATTATAAAATTATTAATTATTTGTATTAAATATCTTGTATTATATGATATTTTTAAATTTTTATTAGTGATTTTTAAACTTTCTTTTAATGAGTTAATACATAAGTATAGAAAATTTATAGTTAATTAAGATTGATTAATTAACTGGTTAATTAACTATTAATTAATCGTAATATATTTTTTATATAAAATTTTATATAAAAAAAATTTGTAAAATGAATTTTATTATATTATTATATATATATTAAGAATATTATACTATTATCAAGATTTAATAAATTGTTATTATTATCTATATTATATATTTAAGCTTGCATTCTTAAAGAAATAGTCCTGTTAAAAGTTTTAATAATAATTGCATTTTACAGAAGAATTTTAATATTATTTAAAAAAATATAAAAAGTATCAAGTTTTTTAATAAACTAATTATTTGATAAGTTAGAAATAAGAAAAACAAAAAGAGTAAAAAAAATAATAAATTAATAAGTGATTTTTAGGTTTTATATATTATAAAGAATCATTTACTTATTTAAATTTAATTTTTGTAAATATCGTAAAAATTCAATTATCTAAAATTTTCTTTGATTTGATTAGTTAATTCAAAATCCTTTAATTAATTAACTAAAATGTTTACATTTAGTTTTAATTTATTAATAATTTAGAAATAATAAAATAGATATTTTTTATTGTAAAATATTTATATATTAACAATTAATTTATTTTTAAAGTTATTCTATAATTACTATTAATATTATAGTATTTCAAAAAATATTTAACTATATTTATTAAAATTATAAGTTTTTTCTTAAATTCAATATTTTTTGTTTTAATTTAATCAATTATTTTTTATTTCTTTTATTAAACTTAAAAATAGATTTTTTGTTTATAATATTTATTAAAATTAATGAATATTATCAGCAACTTTTAACTTAAATTATATTTTATAATTAATTTTACATATTCTTTAACAATTTTATTAGAAAAAAATATTGTAATTTCTTATAAAGAATATGTAAAAAAACTAGATTTTTCTTCTTTTTATCAAATTTATTTGAAAGTATTTTATTAATTAAAATTTATAATAATTTTATATTTAATAAAAAAAGAAAACCAAAAAATTTTGGTTTATTTTATTTTTATATTCCTAATTATTATATTCTTTATTATTATATTTTTCATTATTAAAATTTTTATTATCAAAAACTTTTTTATTATATTTTAAATTTATAATATCAAAAAAATTAAAAATTTAAAAACTTTTTTTCAAAACCAATTTTTCTTAAATTTAAAACTTGAGATAAAAATATTATTATAAACAAATAGTTTAATTTCAAATATTTTAAAACTTCTAAAAATAGTTTAAAAAGATATTTTTTAATCAAATGATTTGTTAATAAATTAGCTATATTTTAAATTTTAGCAAAATTATCTATAAATTTAAATATAAATAATTTGATTTTGATTTTCTTTAAATAAATACTTTTTATTATTATTAAAAGAAATATATATAATTAATATTTTATATAATTTTTTAGAATTTAATTATAAATTAATTTTATATATAAAAACTAATAAAATACATATTCTATTAAATAGGAGATTTTTTTTTTAAAAAAAGATTTTAAGGCAATATAATATATAATTTTAGAATCTTATTTTTCTAAAAAAATCTTCTAATTATTTTTATTATTATATATATAAGTACTTGTAATATAAAAGAAAAAATTTTAAAAAAAAAAATTTTTTGTAATTTCTTTAAATATTTATAATAAAAATTAAGATATTATATTATTATCAATATTTCTATTATTTATTATTATAATTTTACATATTTATAATTAAATTTTGTTTTTTAATAAAAAAAAATAATTTAAATAATAAAAGTATAATTTTTTAAAATTTATAAAATAATTTTAAATCATTATTGCTTAAGTTTCTTTATATTGATTAAAAACAAAATATATAAAATTTTTTAATTCGCTAAAATAATAGAAGAATTTAAGAATCTTAATCGGAAACTAAATTTAATAAAAGGTTGAAAAAAATTTTTTTTCCAGAAAAAAATTTACTTCATTTTCACATTTTGATTAAATAGATTAAATAGGATCCATTTTGTTTGGGTCTGTGGTCATCACCCCTTCAAGAAGATAGATTCAGAGCGAGGTTTTACTTTGAACACCATAAATTTATTCTTGAACACTGTCTGGCTCATTCAACTATATAATAAAAAGAACGAGAATTTGAATGTTCTAATTGTTTGTGAGACGAAGAAACATTCTATGGTACACAAGGCACATGAATTTATGATTTCTGCCTAAATTATGGGATAATTTGATTTATTGGTTCACATGTTTTGCTGCGGCAATTCGATTTGATATTTGCAATGGGAGAAAACTTTTAATGCCTCACGCAAATGTGGTAATCTTTTATCGCGGTAAAACAATTTAAATTATTTATACTCTAAAGGATGTTACACGATAATTATTTTTTATGGACAGACATTTTCGCCTAGTATAAAATTTGTTCAAATATAAACAATAAATAAAAATTAAATAAAAAGTTGGTTTCATAATGGCTTCACCTCACCTTTGGACACCTGCTCTTGAACCACGAACTATTATAAATCCTTGGTATAGACATGCCATAATAAATGAGACAATCGCTTTGGACAGAGAAGAGGAGGATTATGAAGCACAGGTATTTAAAAATTTTATTAAATTGATCCAAAAAAAAAAAATAATTAACGCACATTTATTTTATCAAAGTTATATTCGATAAGAGTTAAAGGTAAAAAAGCTCCTATTATTGGAAAATATAAAATGAGACCAAATAACAATTCGGTATTTTATTTAAAAAATTATTTCCGGTTCAAGAGCATTGTAACTAGTGTTTCATGAAGTTATTTATTTTATTGTTAGGATGACGAATCACCATTAATTGCCGAAGATGATGATGATTCGGAATATGATGAAGGAGATGATGAGGAAGAGGAGGAGGATGACGAAGAAGAAGAAGAAGAAGAAGAAGAAGAAGACCTTGACGATGATTTTGAAGAATTAGGTGATGAAATAGATGATGATGCTGAAGAAATTGAAGGTTCTGAATATACTCATCATCCAGACTCGACAATTCTTGGAGAAATTTTAGGCTCAACGGAAGTATTGCCACCTTCAACACCACCGGGAGAAACTTCTAGAGCCATGGATATTTCTGAATTTGAAGTGTTGGGCGTTGAAGAATATGGTCAAGATTTTGAATTTTAATTTGGTAAGTATTAAGTATTTAATGAATATATGATATGGATTTCTTATTGACACTTTTTTTTCTTATCATTAATAAGTACATCGAGTCTTTATATATATATATATATATTCTTTCATTATAGCATAGTATGTATATTTTGGTAAAAAATATAATATATTTTTTTATAATAAATTAGCTTATGTAATACGTGCGTTACGTCACATGACAATTGTCACTTTTGGGCCGTTGTATCAAGAAATCCAAGAACATATGAGTTGGCCATTCCGATAAATAGAAGTGGTCATTAATTAGATAGAAAAATAAATTATGTATATTTTATAAAATTAAGACCTTTTGAAATTTTTTGAGAGTTCGGTGTCAATATATTACCTAATTAATCTTCAAGGCTAATCAATATTAAATATATGGGAGGTGGTCAGTAGAAAAGGTGGAAATCCAAAATTTTTGTTAATTTTTATTATTAAGCTAAATTTGTGCACATGACTGAGATCAGCCAAGTGGTCTAATAATATAATAAATTTTGACTAAAATTTAGATTTCCCCCTTTTCTACTGACCACCTCCCATATATTATTAGTTATATTTCATTTGGATTATCCACAGCAGTTACTATACAGTGTAGGACAAAAAAACTGGAATTTTTTAATTTCACATTACGCAACAACCAATGGCACAAACTACACAAAATTTATATATTTCAGCTTATTTTATTAATATATTTTTTAGTATGGAATTCGTTCATCATTATTTTCTATAATAAGTTCACATCGGTGTTTCATTAATCCTACTAACCCAATTAGGATTAATTCCAGAATATCATCCCATTCTTAAACCATAAAACAACGTAAATTATTAATATTTTTTGGCATTTTCTTTTTCACATTTCTTTTAACAATATTCCAAAGGTTTTCTATTGGATTTAAGTCAGGACTGTTAGAAGGTCAGTCGATAACTTCAAGAACATTTTCTTGAAGAAATTTTTAGTATGTTTGCTAATGTGTTTCGGATCATTGTCTTGCTGAAAACACGATTCATCTCCCAACAAGTCTTTAATCTCTGAAAGATGCATACGGAGTATATTTACATAAAATTCAGTATTCATTATTTGGGAAAAATAATATAAACTTGTTTTTCTGTTTATGCAAAATCCTCTCCATATAAAAATCTTTGTTCGATCTTTAAGCATAAGGCATATCGGTCGATTTCCTTTATGCTAACGCTTCACAGTATTCTGAAAAAGTTGAAAGGTGGTCTCATCCATAAACAAGATATTGTCCCAATTATCATTGAGATAATTTTGGACCTATTCCACTCGTTTACGCTTATAGTCCACAGTCAGCATTGGCATTGCTCTTGGAAGGGCTCTTTTGATATCCAATTTCAGTCAAATGTCTACCTACTAAAGATGGTAACAACAATTATTTTATTATGTTGCAACAAATAAAAAATTAATTAAATGTTATAACATGATTAAC